AAGATTTTATAACTCCCACACTGTCTCCATCTCTGTCTTTCGAATCCTCTTTTATGGTTTACATGGTGGATGCTGCTCTCCACTGATCACTGGAGGAGGACAGTCATGCTGGGACCCCCAGGAAGGGGCCGGCCAGTGCTGCTGCCCCAGAGTGTCCCTTCCAACAATCTTGCTCTGCCCGTGGAGGGAGAGATGAGACAGAGGCACTTCTGTCTGTACAGGCTCTCTAGGAGCCCTTGCTCATCACAGCTCCCCGTTCCATTTTTTCTTTTTTGGAGGGATAGTAGTAGTGAGAGACAAGAGGGATATTAGCTTATGAACTAAAGATTTGCTTATTCCAGTAAACCGGGTTCCAGTTTCCTGATAATACATTCTTTCTCATAACGAATATTCACAGATATGGTGCAGTTTTCCTGTTTCTTTGTGCTGTTCTAATTCTGAAACTGGCCTGTGATATTGCATTATTAATGAGATGGGAGATGATTAGAAACTTCTACAGTGGCTTCTGGGGTGGCATGCTTCCAAGGGAGACTTGGTTATGTGATGCACAATTGTGCTTAATTGCTTTCTGATGTCATGGTCAGACCTAATGGGAGAAGGAGGTCAAGAGCAACTCATAGCATCTGTCAGCTATGGTGACAGAACAGGGAGAAAATGGGAACCGGATGTAAAGTGTGCAGCACCTGTTCCTCCAGCATATATGATTCCAGGGACTCTGGGCCTGGCTGTTGCCGTGACACTATTTCTAGGGAGATACGAACAAATGAGAGAGGACTCTCATTTTCTACAACAAATATGTCAGGGTTGTTTGAATCTTTAACAGAAAGCATATTTTTAAATTTATAATTACTTTTGTTTTTCATTAGTGTATATTTGGTGGTGGTGGTATGTGTGTGTGTGTGTATGTGTGTGTGTGTGTGTGTGTTTGTTACATATGTGTGGTGCCAGCAGAGACCAGAAGAGGGCATCAGAGCCCCTGGAGCTTGAGTTACAAGCAGTTGTGAGTTGTGAGTGCTGATGACCAAACTCCCACTCTCTGGAAGAGCAGCCAGTGCTCTTAACCAATGAGCCATCTATCCAGGTCCTATTATATCCTATTTTTTAAAATAGTCAAGTATTTCTTTCATAAATATTTTCTCATTTCTAAAAGATGCAAAACAGCTGTTCTAGTTACTTCTTTTTAAAAGAAGGAAAACATTCAGTCTATAAGACCCATCTACGTTGGTACATGGTTCACTGATATGGGTAAAACCACCTCAGGCAAAAAGACCCTGAATCTGTGGTTCCTCCCTGTTTGGATGCATTCCTGTGGAACTGGTAATGCTTCTCTGCAAATCTAGTAAGGGTGACAGAGCTGTAAAGTCCACAATGAGGAAAAATAAGAGACGTGGTTGAGAGTTTCACAATTCACACTTGAAGTACTAGTTTTGTGAGCATTTCTTCTATAACAAATGGGTTTGAAGGAATGACTATGGAGGTTGGATGTTCCTCAGAGCCATCAAGGGCATGCGGGGATGTTGAGAACTAAACAAAGGATGAAGCTGTAGGCAGCAGGCTGGATGCAGAGATGCCCTTGAGCAGTTGTGGTCCACAAACACAGAGGTGTTGCAAAATGATCCAGAGTAGAAATGTGTTTGGGAAATCCTGGCCGATACAGAAGGTTTGCTAATTTAACAGTTAGGTGTCTTATATTATTTCTCTTTTGCATAAATTTGCCATGGAGGCAACCTGCTGGGTTTTAAAATCATACTATACTTCCAGCTCCCATTTCTTTAAAATTATTCTTTATGGAAAGATATCTCTGTCTTGGCATTTACTTCTTATACACAATAATCAAGATGTATAGATGTTTTGTGGCCATATTAATTCTTTCGGGGGCTAGAAGAATAGAATACGTGGATTGTTGTTTGGTCAGACAAGACTGAAGATTTAAGTTTTATGTGAGACAGAACATAATTCATTTTCTTTTTCTTTAAAAGAACACATACCATCCAGGTACAAATGCTTGACTGGATAGGACTTAACATATATGACAGAATGCATAAAATACTGTGGGGATGCCGTGTTTGGGGGGCTTAGGTGGAGGGGGGATTCTAAATTTGATTATGATCTATTATATGAAATGCACAAAACTCAATAAAACTACATAAAAAAGAAAGTCACAAATATTCAACAAAATTTTTTAAAAATTTGTTTTTATTTCTTTTTGTGCTTAGGGTTGCTTTGGCTATCGTGGGTCTTTAATGATTCCATATGACTTTTAGGATTTTTTTTTCCTATTCTGTGAAGAATGTCATGGGGATTTTGATTGGAATTGTGCTGAATCTTATATATTGCTTTTGGCAGAATGGTCATTTTCGCAACATTAATTCTTCTAATTCATGAATGCGGGAGGTCCTTCATTCTCCTGCTGTCTTCCTCGTCTTGTTCTTCAAAGATTTAAAATTTTCATTGTAGAGATCTTTAACATCAGTCAAATTTATTCCTAGATATTTTTTGAGGCTATTATAAATGGGAGGGTATCCATGAACTCTTTCTCTGATTGATTGTTATTGGTACATAGAAAGGTTACTGTTTTTCATAGATTAATTTTGTAACCTGCCACTTTATTGACTGTGTTAATCATGTCTAGGAATTTTCTGGTGGAATTTTTGGGACCTCTTTTTAAGACATTTTAGTTACCAAAAATGATCTAACACAGTTATGGAAATAAAATCGACTGACTGATATGTCTTTGGTTTATAGCAGCAGCTAGTGATGTGGATAAAACGTTTTAAAAGTACTTTTCCTCAGGGCTGGAGAGATGGCTCAGCAGTTAAGAGCACAGTCTGCTCTTGCAGAGGACTCAGGTTCTATCCCAGCACCCACATAGTGGTTAACAATGTTTATAACTCCAGTTCCAGGGGATCTAATGACCTCTTTTGATCTCTTCAGAAATTGTGTGACACGGGTGCACTTACATGCATGCAGGCAGTACACTCATATACATAAAAAATGAATAAATAAAATAGAAAAGACTTTTTCCCTCAGATTGCTCTTTCATTTCTAAGAATGTACCCCAGGGAAGAGGCGCCATCAGCGCCCCTGTTGCCTCTTCCGTTGGCTCTCTCCTTCTGGTGCTTGTTCCCCAAATTCTGTTTGTAGAAACATCTGTGTTGATGATTTCAGGTTGTACTGACCCCATCTGGCTCAAGGAGAGAATCTGGGGTAAATTCTAAGGTGGCAGTCCACCCTCCTGGGCATTATAATTGGTTCAGAGATGGGAATGTGTTCAGCTCAATCCTGTTTTTAGACATGTTCAGAATTTACTTAGGGATGAAACAAATTCTGATAAAGAGACCATATGTGTTTTGGAAGTCTCTTGAAGTCACCTAGTGGAGAAGAGCTTACTTAAAAGTTGAGATGAGGCAGAGAGGCACAAACCTGGAAACCTGATTTGGAATGCCAGCCCCATCCTGTTCTCCATGGGGAACCCTGCGTTGTTTCTGACTGGCTGGCCCATCACCCATGCTTGGCATGTAAATGATGAAAGAAAGGAATGGATAAAATAAATCCGGAGAGGATTGCCTGGATGCAATCATGTTTCCTTCAGAACTTCTTTAAATTATATGAGTTCATATATTTTGTTGCTTAAGCCAACTTGAGCTACATTTAAACAAATTCACCATTTTTGATGCAAGCAAAGATTCCGTTGAATGATGCATCCCATAGAATTTCCTTTGAAATTCATGTATTTTAGACTTCAGTAGCTGATGATGACTAACGAGGTCAGAGCTACAGAAACAAGCTTGAGAACAAGATAAAACTTAATCAGCAAGAAATGCAGTCTTTTCATTTACTTCTCAGAGTCTCATATAGGACTTTTATCTAAAAGTTCCTTACGATCCCATCCCATGAACTTGTGGGTTCCAGGACTAACTTGTTCCTGAGATCAATAGCTCCCAGTTGCACCTCCTTATATTTTTATCTTTTTTTCACCTTGTCCTAAGTTAGTGACTTAGAGTGTGTAGATGTCACCTGAATCTATGAATTAACTTATAAGAATATCAGCTAGTCAAAATATCTTTTTTTTACTTGTGAGAGATGAAAACTAGAATCAAGACCAAACAAAATTAAATGTAAAATAATTGTTAAAGTTAATAAAATTATATCCAATAAAGCATTATTACTGGAAATTATTATAATTGGCCAATTCACTTATTCAATGGTGAACAAAAGTTCCCAGAAAAACTGCATTTTGAAACTGAACATTCTACAAAGGCTGATCAACTGATTAGAAAGCCATGATTGTGGAGAGTTTGGATTGTTGCAGGTCTAGAGCTTAATTACCATTTATCTTGAGCCATCTTTAGCCCCTAAATAGCCACTCCTTGCCCACCTTTGTTTCTGACTTAACATCCCAGGACTAACAGATAAAAACCTTTGGAATGTATTAACTTAGCACACCATCAGCTTTCACCAACCGAAAGACTGTCATCAGACAGCATCTGAGGCCTAGAGCTGAGGTTTCTCTTTTGCTGTATCTACCTGCTTAATATTCCACCAATGTATTTGAAAAGTGTCTTGATTTATGACTTTTCTTTGTTCTGTCACTATGAGAACTTCATAAAACTGTTAACACGCTGGAACATGGAATTTGGGGTAACCTGAATCTGTGTTCCTGGGCCATGGTCACTCATATTTGGCTCCAGAATAAATGATTTCTTATCCCCTTTGAGGTGAGAGTTATGCTTTTGACTTGGCACAATATTTCTTGAACAGGAAATAGGCATCGTCCCTTTGCCTAAAAAGATAAAAATAGCCAGAGTGGTGGTACATGCCATTAGTTTCACCACTTGGGAGGCAGAGGCAGGCAGATCTCTGTGAGATCGAGGGCAGCCTGTTCTACATAGAAAGTTCCAGAGCAGTTGGGGCTACAGGGAGACCCTGTCTCAAAAAAAAAAAAAAAAAAAAAAAAGAGCGAGGGAGACATAAAGAAGTAATGGATTCTAAGTTTTTTAAAAAATATGGAAGGCTTCACAAATTTCTGTGACATCTTGCTCAGGGGCCATGCTAACCTTCTGTCAGTGGTTCCAGTTTTAATATATGTGCTGCTGAATCCCGTGCATGCATTCTAATCTTGAGCATTCATGGCCTTGGGGAATGGACACTGAGGAGGTAAAATAGCTACTGGTATCTCTTACGGGGCTACAGCAGAAATCACAGGGAAACTGGGATGGAGCCCAAGGAAGAGAGCGTTCTTTTTCATAGGATGGTCACAGAAGGTCCCATCAAAACATTTTTTTCCAGATGTAAGAGATGAAAATTCTGGCTAAGAATAATCAGGGGAAAGATGACTCCATGTGACAAAATACAAAAAACGAGCTTGGAATTAAGACAACTAGGCATTTTAAGGAACCGACAGGCAATGTTGTTTTTGTGCAGTAACAGGCAAGGCAAATACTGGGTCATGCAAGAACTGCTGGGAAGGAAGTCCCTCAGTGTTTATGGTCTTAGAAAAGTATCCTAAAACGATGTTATAGATTTAGTTCACTGAACCTTCACAACAACCTCGTGAAGTAGGTTTATTATCCTGTCCGCATTCTGATGGGTAAACAGAGGCATAAGGAGAATAAAAATAATTGCATCCCTAGAAACATACCTGATAAAATTGAAAATGCATTTTTATATTAAACTTGTATATAAGTGATCCTAGCACCAATGTTGGAAACAGCTCAAAGAGGAAACAACCCAAATGCCCATCCATTAACAAATCAATAAACACAATGGGCATATTCACACAATGGAATATTATTCAATTGTAACAAGGAATGAAATTCTCATACACATTTCAGTATAGATGACCTTTGAAAATATCATGTTAAGTGAAAGAAGCCAGACACAATACAGTAACATGCTTGATTTCCATGTCAACAAAAATCTTCAAGCCACAAATCCATAGAGAAAGCAATTGGTTCGTGTCAAGAGCTAGGGGGACAGGGAAAATGAAAATTGATTGCTTCTAGATGCAGAGCTTCTGTCAGAAGTTATGAAAATAATATGGAATTAGTGGTGGTATCACTATAACTTTTAAGCTAAAAACCTGGGCTCTGGTAGTCCCAGTAAGCAAACTTTGGCCATCTGTTCCCCCACAGACCAGTTAGACATATAATAGTGAGAAGCAGAGGAAGGGGACTTATTCGAAGTAGCCACATTGGGAAGAGGTCCAATGACCCTCAAGTCTGTATTTGGGACACTGAAATGAGGCTTGGGTTTAAAGAAAGGGAAACAGACATGTATACTTAAGCAGTCCTGGTCAATCTGTGGCCCTTCCCATTACTGACCTATCATTGGGCTCCCATCTCTTCTCAAGGTGATCTCATAAGTTGCCAGAACTGTGTAATCTCTTTTTGGGAGACAGGTTTCTCCTCTGGCTGGCCCCAGGGCTTTGACTTTTCCAGATGAGATTCCTGGGGAAATTTTGATTCTTTGGAAGTTCATTGTTTCAATAGTCAGCCAAAGAGCAGGGCACCAGTGGCTCAGTTTAGAATATCCCCTCTCCTACCAAGGCTACTACAGTGATGGGTGTATAACTCTGCATATATACTAAAAGCCACCGAATTATATACTTTAAGAAGGAAAGCTTTATATATGAAAATTAGGTCTCAATAAAGTTGTACTCCAAGGAGAAAGAAACACATCCAACATCACAGATTCAGGAGTGACAGTTCTACAGACCCTGGGTTTGGAGCAGACATGGATCTGGCTGCTGTGTGTAGAGCAGATGTCAGGCTGCAGTTCCCATTCCTTGCACATTACACATCACCTGTTCTTTATGACTCCTGGAGGGGCCCAGTGCTCACTCTGTGGGGAGAATTAATCCTTTCCTCTGAAAATCAAAACTGTGGTATTGCATGGATGTTTCCCAAATTAATTTAAACAATGCAGCTGGTTGGGAACTTGTGGAGAATGGTGTTCGAGTTGCTCTAATATTAGCATTCCTGAGCCAATTTCATAGTTTCTTACATGAACAAATTGTGATGAACACTAATTAGGAACCATAAGGATGAATTAAAAAGTTCATATTTCAAAACACATGTGTAAGGCTAGAGAGATGGCTCAGCAGTTTTGAATGTCTGCTGTTCTTTCAGGGGACCAGAATTTGGTTTCCAGTGCCCACATCAGGAGGCTCACTTGCCTGTAAGACCCAGGGTATCTGACATCCTCTCCTGGCCTCTGAAGGTACTGACATACATGTGCAAATATACACACATGCACATACACACTCGGTCTTAAAATTTTTTTCAAAACACATGTGCATTCGTCATGTGCCCACATATATTGCATACTTCATGACTGATGGCTTTGAAGGCACGTTGCATGCATTTAAGACAGGATATTCAAACACAATTGGTAAGACAAAGGCACCATGGGTTGCTCCTGCATTAATAAAGGCAACTGGGTTCAAGGAACTTGAAATGTTCTCTTCATTCTCTACTGACAAGTCTTCAATATTGAGAAAACTAACTCCAAACCTCTCAGTTTCCCCTTTAGAAAAAACTGCTACTTAATGCTAATTAGATGTACCCAGTTGCCCAAAACTTGCTGGCTTCAAATGACCATCTATTATCTGTTATGTCCTGTGGTTGACTGGGCTCAGACAGATTCTCAGCTCTTTCTCAGGTAGCTGCCCCTGGGTGGTGGTGGACGATGCCACCAGATGAGTCTGACTGGATGGACATCCACTGTGGCTCACAGCCACGGCAGGCAATACTGATTTGGGTGCACACTCAGGTTAGTCACTTAGTTCTAAGTTTTTGAAAGCTTGTTTGGGATTGAGGAGATGGCTTAGGTGGTAGAATGCTTGCCATGCAAGCACAGGGACCTGAGTTTGATCTCCTAGAATCCATATTTAAAATGTTGGGGAGGGGCCAGAGACAAGAAGATTCCTGGGACTTGTTGGCCAGCCAGCCTAGCCTAATTAGCCAGGCTAATGACTGTTTTACTATGCTTTCTGTTGCTGTAATAAAACATTGGCCAACACCAACTTGGAGAGGAAAGGGTTTGTTTGGCTTATACTTCACATCACAGTCCTTCATCGAGGGATATCAAAGCAGAAACTCAATGTAGGAACCTGAGTGGAGGCAGGAACTGAAGCAGAGTCTGTGGAGGAACACTACATACCAGCTTGCTTCCTTCCCCTGGCTTGCTCACCTACTTTTCTTATACTACTGAGGCCCATCTGCCCAGAGATGGTGCTACCTACAGTGAGCTTGACCCTCCTTTGTTAAATAGCAACCAAGAAAATGCCCCAGTGACATGTCCACAGGTCAGCCTAATGGAGAAAATTCCTCAACTGGGGATTCCCTCTTCCCAGATGGCTCTAGTTCATGTTTAGTTGACAAAAACGAATCATCAGAGACTTTATCTCAAAATAAAGTGGCCTATGTTCCTAAGGAATGACACTTGATGGTGTCTTCTGGCCTCCACACATGCATGTGCAACTGCAAACACATGTGCATACGTGAACATGCACACACGTACATACAAAAGCCTGTTTGATTTGGTGAAAGTAATTTGCTGAAGTGAGTAGTAGATGATGTTAGCAAGCGGTGGGGGCTGCAGAGATGGCTCAGGAGCTAAGAGTGCTGACTGCTTTTGCAGAGGACATGGGTTTACTTCACAGCACCCACATGATAGCTAACAACCATTCTTAATTCCAGTTCCAGGGGATTTGACATCCTCTTCTGACCTCCATGGGCATCACACGTATGTGGTGCACTTACACACATGCAGGCCCAAAACTCATACACATAAAATAAAAATAAAAATGAATTTTTTTTTTTTTGGTCTTTTTGAGACAGGGTCTCCCTGTAGCCCCAGCTGGCCTGGATTCACTATGGAGACCAGACTGGCCTTGAACTCCCAGAGATCCACCTACCTCTGCCTCCCAAGTGCTGGGATTAAAGGCGTGCACCACCCCACCCGGCTAAAAATGAATTCTGAAAAATAAGCAGTAAGGGCAAGAGGAGTTCTAGCCCCTTGGTACTAATTGGAATGAACCAGGTCTTATCTGTGAGGCCATGCCTGACTAAACTAAGCTCTAAAGAAGTTAGCTGTTATTACAATTATTACAATGATAATGAGATAATATATGCAAAGCTGTGCCTCACACTTGGAATTTGTTTAACAAATTATTGTTGAAATAGAAATATTGGTATGTGACCTATAAGATCACAGCTTGCCGTGGGGAGACTGCAGGCAAGACCATGTCCTTCCTCCTGTGTTTTATAAAGGATGGTTAAAAGAGAGAGTTTAACTTAGCCGAAAAGCAACTGTGGCCTAAGATTTTATTGAAGATAAAGTAATTCTATGAGTGTTCTAAAATCCATCTATTCAGGACAGAATAAAAGGCACGGAAGATTTATCCCGATGTGTACATCCTTGACCTTGAGATAACTCTCCTGAAAGCTGCAGGTGCTTTTTTCCTTGAGACATTTAAACGTGTCTTCTTTATATCAATAAGAAGTGCATTAATGGACCTGGTCAGGGCATACAGGGGCCAAGCTGAAAGGCACAAGTTCTGGCCTTCTGAAATGGCTATCACTCTATAAAAACACAGTGTAATTTGTTGAATGTCAAGTAGATTAATATGTCAGACCTGGGAACATTTGCCTTGTAGCACTGTCGTGTTTAGATAATTGAATACTGTAATAGCTTAGCATCTTGCTCAAAGTTAAAATATCAGGATTGACATCATTCTTAGCCACAGGTTCCTTTTTTTCAGGCTTTAAAATCCTTACAATAACTAGAAGGTCTTCTCTGACTCTTGTACACAGAGCTCTTGAAGCAGACTGGCTCCTAGTAACAAATGCAGTTAGCCACAATAATACACACATTACCAAGCAAAGATGAATCATTATTTAATGGGGCTTGAAATTATTTCCATCTGTATTTCTCAGGGTAGATCAGAGGTTTTTCTTCCTGACCTGTCAGGCTACATGCTTGCATACATGACTTTGCAAGTGTCTCAGGGACTGGAGCATCAGGCTGGGTAGGTGGGGTCCCTTCATTCTGTGACTTTGAACTTTTCCTTTGTTGCATGTATGCAAGTATTTTTTCA